AACCACTGATTGAATGCCTCCTGAACACCCCTTACTGGGGGGATTGAACCAACAACCTGGGCATGTGCCCTTGGCAGAAATCGAACCTGAAACACTTCAGTCCATCAGGGGTCTTCAAACTGCGGCCCGCAGAGGAGTCTGATCCGGCCCGCCAGGTTTTTTGGGCAGTGAGCGCAGCCGAGGTGTTACAGTAGGAATTAGTAGTTCATATAGTCCGGCCCTCCAGCTCTCTGAGGGACCGTGATCTGGTCCCCACTTTAAAAAGTTTGAGGTCGCCTGCATAGGCAGATGCTCTAGCCACTAAGCCAAACCAGCTAGAGCCCCATGCTGTTCCTAAGGTGTGTTGTCCCACTCAATTCCACCCATAACACGAAGCATTCATCTGTATAGCATACCTAGGCTACTTCTCATGGCCATTAGTCACTTAGTATCAGATACTGTAACAGTATTGTGGTACTTGTGTTCAAGTAGCCTTTGTTTTACTTAATTAAGGCCCCAAAGGGCAAAAGTGGTGATACTGGCAATTTGGAGAGGCTGCCAAAGTAAAGCCAAAAGTACTTTTACAGGAAAAGGTAAATACAGTACAATAACGTATTTTGAGATAACCCACATAGCTTTTCTTCTACACTATAATAATAAAAGCGTAATATGCTAATTAGACTGGATGTCCTTCCGGATGACCTTCTGGATGAAATCAGTGCTTCGAGGGAAGCCCAGGTTTCAGGTGCCAGAGGGAAGCTGGTGCTGGCAGCCAGGGAAAGGAAGGCCAACTCTTGCAGCACGAATTTTGTGCATCGGTACTCTAGTAGTGTTATAATTGTTTTTTATTACTGTTGTTAATCTTTTACTGAGTGTCTAATTTACAAATTAAGTTTTATCACAAGGATGTATGCATAGGAAGACACATAATATATGTAGGGTTTGGCACTAACTATGGCTTTAGCCATCCTCTGGGGATCTTGGAAGATATCCCTCACCATGGAAAGTGGTGGGGGATATCTTCCAAGATATCTTTTGTCTACCATTAAGGCAATGACTTAGCACTGGTATTTCTGCCTTCACTACAGCTTTGCCCTATCGCTGAAGTGGTCTTTTAAAGATACGTACAAGTTAATCCTCTGCTTGAAATCTAGTATAGCTTTCAAGATCAAGTTCAAATTCCAAGGTGCTTTATGATCTGGTTCCCAGTCAGCCTCATTTTCCACAAATATGCTCATTACTGCACATAAATAAGTATGTTTCATATCTCCTTTACCCTTACTTGAAATATTCTGACATGTCCGTATCTTCTTTATCCGCAGGACCGTACCTAAATGCAGCTTTCCCTTTAGTCCAATCTGCTGGCTGCCCTTATACTCCCATCTCTACAGTTACTATGCCCAATATACTTGTAACTTATTTGCTTGTATAATAGTTCCCTCTTCCACTAGACTACAAAGCTTCTTAAAGAGTAAGATAGTGAAGGGAGGAGTTTTTATGTATCAATAGATTTTGCAGGAAATAACATAATATATAAATGGAAAATGGACTAATAATATACCAATGAACCAATTATTTCAGATGGCTTTCATGGCTGATTTTGCTCAGGCTACCAAAGGTTACATTATTCATAGTTATGGTATAGACAACTCATTTCATTACACTTCACAGATACCACTTAGCTTTTTCAAACAAATTGAAGCCAAGATCGCTTACTAGTAAAAAGATTGATTCACTTTACTGTAATATCAGTTTTATTGATGTGATCTGGAATCTAACCCACAATACCTCTGAGGTATGCCTGTACTTTCTTCTATGGCTTCATCATAGATTAGGTAGAGTTCAGTGTGGTTTTCTAAATCATTTCAAAATATCTTTCCGATAGCTTCATTTCCAATTAAAGAAAAATCAAGCATGTAAATATCAGAAACAATAGGCAAGTTAATTTTTCTTCAACTCATCAATTCTTAGTAGGAATTACCAGTCAAAAGTTTTAAGAATTGCCTAACTTATTTATTTTTATTTTTTGCGATGCTGTCAATTCTTTAAAAGGATTGCTTTTTATGAGTATTTGCACTTTCAAATATGTTACCTTCAAAAATACGCTAACGCATGTAATTAGAACCAAACATTTTTGCCTCGTAACTTTTAATGACCAACAGCATTTCCTGATTATAATCCACTAAAATTCAACAGTGACTCTGTACTGAAAGTTACTAGATGTTTTATTCCTTAGAAAGTCAGAAATCTTGAGTTCCATTTGAGTTCTGTGGCACTGTTATTACTTTAACTAAAAATTCTCCAAGCAAAATTAATTGTTACCATTTGTTCTTCCAGCAGATCTGCAATTATGGGTTGTTACATCACCACTATCCATGTTCTTTTAGGTCACATCTCTATCACACAAAGGGTAGGCATACTAACAAAATAAGGTACATTTACCTAATCAAATTACTATGTTTGGCACAAAGATGATATCAAAAGCCAAAAATATGATTTTTTAAAATCAATGATAATCATTAATTATTTATAAAAAAGCACTTAAACTTCAGGGCTTACTTATAAAGAGGAAAAGATTGGTATTTTGGGTTTTTGTAATCTTTGACCCCTTCCTGAAATTATCCAAATAATAAGAAATAATCTCTCTAGAAAACAAGTACATTTCAGGAAATAATGCAGCCAAAGCAAAACTGCAGTTGTGGTTTACATATATTTTTAGTTTTGGTTAATCAGTGAATATTTAAATAGTCCTGAAAAATCAAATTATTTCCTTTTAAAAGCAAAAACAGCTAGTCATTAATATTATATTATCAATAAAAGGCTGCTGAAGCCAGGGCATGTGTCTCGGTTGCAGGTTTGATCCCTGACCTGGTCAGGGCTTGCAGGAGGCAACCAATCAATGTGTTCTTCTTACAAGGATGTTTCTCTACCTCTCTCCCTCACTTCCTTCCACTCTCGGGAAATCAAAGGGAAAAAATTTCCTGGGGTGTGAATTAAAAAAAAAACACAGCTATTGAAAAATAATTTAGCAAGGAATAGCCATAATCTAAAATATATAAAATGCAAATAAAAGCAATAAGGTAAAGAGCTTAAAAAATTGTCAGGATAGCAATTTTCTTTTATTTTCTGAATAATTACTAGCATAATCTACTCATTTATGTTTCACTTTAACTTTACTGTTGGTATAAGTGAGGTCTCGTCAAGCAGAAAAACAATATGCTTGTTTTAAGGGTTGGTTTAATATGCACACCAAAGAGCTGAATATCAACTCTTTCAAGTATTAATACTGATAACTAATTTTTATAATGAAATTATCTCAAAGCACCCTCTGGATCAAAGATGAGTTTTACTTGATAGATAATGCATTTTATTGAATTCTTTGCTTTGAAAATTGGGTGTGGGTGATCTAAAATGGAAAATTCTAGAAGTTGCAACTTCAAGTGACTACAGATTCTATCTAGCTAGGCAAAATAATCTGGTAGAACTACGACAACCCCCACATTAAAAAGGGAACCAGCTGCCACTCTGTCCCAAGCTATTTTTGCTCGTGGGAATGAGGGCCTAGTCAGAGCTTTGTTTTTTAAATGTGAAGATTGTCAGCTTTTAAAACACTTCATGGAACAGAGTAGGTGAAGCCACTAGTTAATTATGTGTAATATATATATATATATATATACACACACATACATATACACACACACACACACACACACACACACACAATTTTGCTACTAAATCAGACAGAAAGAATCATTTTAAAAGTAAAATAAATTTACATTTAAAGCAGTAAAAATTGTTCTTGAGATTGGGAATGAATAATCCTAATTTTTTAGGTATTAGTATAACTCACATATATTTCAAGTTATTAAACTAAATACAATCCCCCAAGTTTGATTTAATTTGATTCTTAATCTTTAACTCTAGGGTCATAATATTTCATAATTACTCTAACTCAATTTATTTCTCCTAGATTTCTTCTACTAAGCACTTCACACATCGCTTATTTCTCATGTCTTAATTGCCTGCCTTTACCAGTACATTTTAAGTATCTTAAAGCCTGAGATGAATCGTGTTTATTGTGTTCATCTGTGTCCTTAATGGCACACAGGCAGGGGGGCTCACATTGGCTGAGATTAAAAAAATTAATAAAATAAAAAGTGAAATAATCAAAACCAGAACTGCTGAACACACATTTTTTGATCCAACCCATCTGTTGGCCAACCATTCCAAGGATCTTTTAGAATTATAAACATCTACTTATTGACTATTCTCTCTCCTAATACCTTATTGCCATTTATGTTGAGATTAAATCATCAAAAAGGGAAGAAAGCAGAAAATTCAGTTAAGACACATAGTGAATAGAATAGAAATCCGAAAGTGCCTTCCAAGTCAAAAAAAGTGTTAAGTATTGTGCAAGATACAGTCTTACCCCAGGATGTTTTACTGCATTCTAATTCTGTGAAATTCTTAGATGGTATCCATAATTCTGAATATTCAATTATCCAGCATATACAGTTTCTTATCTACCCAGGATAGAAAGGAATTTTGCTGTATTCAAAATATCACTTCCTACCTAAAAATATTCAAATTTTGTATAATACCAAAGTTCCAGAAAGAATCAATATCAAAATAATACAGTTAAAGTTAGATTTGGGGAAGTTAACTGAATAGAATAATATTTTGAGTAAGGCCCTGGTAGAGCCAGTTAATTTATTGGCTGTACAAATAACAGGAAGCTCTGTGACAATGCTTTATACTGCTACGAAAGAATACTAGATTGATGTGAAGAGTTATTTGGTAGGTAAAGAGATGCTATATTCTAGACCACAGGCACACACACATATTATACATAACAAATGACTAGTTCATTAAATTACTCTTCCTTTCAAAAGAAAAGTACAACTATGACATATTCAAAACAGGATTACAATGTAATAAAAGAAACGGAAAGACTAAGTTAAAAATTACAACTAGATAGATGCTGAATTTTAAGCACAAAATATTAAATTGTTAATACTTACAGGTCCCATAATTGTGGCTTGCCAATGAAACACTAAAATCAAAACAAAAAACTCTTGTTATCTAAAAAGGCACAAGTTTTTATGAAATTAGCCATAAAAATCAACTTGAAAGTTACTTACTATCATCCCCAACTGGACCTGCAGAACACTGTGCTGGAGGGTCACGGGCCAAATCACTAAGTTCCTACACCAAAGCAGAAAATTAAATAAGCAAAGAGTCATCTGCTTCCAGTTCATTTTCACCTCATTCTTTTAGGAACACACAATTACTATTCACATTAGTAATAAATATACTCTATTGGAAGAGGAAAATTAGTTACTTAATGGACACATCCAAGACAACCACGTTGGCTAGGGTTCACAAAAGTATAGACAGCAATATAAAAATTTACAAACCAAAAAATTGTAATCAGATATTTTCATAGCTTAATAACTAGATAAGGTTGTTTTCAACATTCATGTCATTTGTTGAATTTCCCAGACCATCTCAGAGGCCTTCCTTTTTACCATCTTAAATACTGTTCTTCTGAACCAAATTATACCCAGACCTCATTGTCAACTTGAAAAACCTCATTTTGGTTTGATCTCCTTGTTCCCTCAATTCAATCTTTTTTTTGTTTTGTTTTTTACTCAATACTGAGTAAAATTACAAAGAGCCTAAGTCTCTGCTTTAGCAACTAACATGCAGTTTCCATAATTCCATCTGACCTTATATTTACAAAAGATATGCACTTAGCTCTTCCATGACTGGTGCATAACAAATGTGTCTTATCTAGTGAGAGAATAAAGTTGTTTCTCTACTAGGTTTTAAAAACAATTAAGATGATATAGCTCCATGTACATATACTATATATAAATCCTCATAGAAATTTATAGGCCCACAAGATAACATGGGCTTTTTTAAGATGAATGAGAATTAAAGATAACAAATAATTGCCTTTATGATATGATCAAAATGCACTTCAGCAAATGGTTAACCCTAGCCAGTTTGACTCAGTGGATAGAAGGAAGGGCCCCAGGTTCCATTCTGGTTAAGGGCACATACTTCAGTTGCAGGCTTGATCACTGGCCCTGGTCAGCCATATGTGGAAGGCAACCAATTGATGTGTCTCATACATCAATGTTTCTCTCCCCCTCCCTCCTTCCAAAATAATTGGAAAAATATTCTCAGGTAAGGAACAAAAACAAAAGAAGAAAATAGTAAACTGTTCAGAATGGTCAGTCTGGATTTACTCCATTAAAAAAAAAAAAAAATCAGTCCAGAATTCTCCTTGTAGTAATCATTTTAAAATATACATTAACCAAAGAATTGTGTGTCCATCAACAAACCAATATTTTATGCTATTTATCTCAATAGAACTTGGAAAAAATTTGTTCTGATACACTATGCTAATCTGCGTCCTAAAAGTCATACCACAACAGCTTATAAAGTAATCAAGACAGCCAGAAAGATCCCAGGATTCACAATGCTAGGATGATATGTCAGACCACACCCTTATGCTTCCTACATAAGTATACTCTCATGTTTAACATAAATTCATTCCAAACACTTTTGATTCTGATCAGTAGGAGTTACAAGAACTCTTCTCAGGGATAAACAATAGATTAAGAGAAACCATCCATATTTCAGCTTTTAAGAAACAACTTACAAAGTATCTATTTATTCTGAAATAAGTATTAGTTTGGTTTTATTGAGTAAAAAGTATACCGGCAACTTGAATTAACCAATATTTATTATTGGGCAAATGATTTTTTCACAGGCTAGATCACATCTTATATAACAATTATTTACATTCCATGATCAGCCACTTTTATTATAATGGCAATCTACTTTAACACCATCACTTACTTTAAGTAAGAATCAAGCATTGTCTTATATGAACAATGTTCTAAAACGTATACGATCAATTCTATTGTGTAACTAGCCCACTAAAAAGAAGAGAAACCAGAAGCTAACTTATGCAGCCTACTTCGTTCTCTGCTTAAGGAACATAAAGATCCAAAAAGTTTAAGGTTAAAACATAATCTGGTTCCAACCCACTCCTTTCCCCTTTTCCACAAAAGATAAAAGTGTAAATTTTTAAAAATGCTACTAAAACCCCAAAACACTTACATATGCAATTCAAATGCTCAAACATACCATCCTGAAGTAAGAACATTATATCCTCCTTGAATATCATATTTTGAAGTCTCACTTTTAATCCAATGTAGACCCATTATTTCCTAAGTTTATTTCATCATTTCTAAAATAGCAATAGAGCCAAAACCGGTTTGGCTCAGTGGATAGAGCATCAGCCTGAGGACTGAAGAGTCCCAGGTTCAATTCCGGTCAAGGGCACGTACTTGGTTGCAGGCACATCCCCAGTAGGAGGTGTGCAAGAGGCAGCTGATTGATGTTTCTAGCTCTCTCCCCCTCCCTTCTTCTCCATAAAAAGTAAAAAATTAAAAAGCAATACTGCTTTATTAATAGGCTACATATTAAAGCATTAGCCCTTAAATCTTTTTGTCTATGTGATGATTTTTTATGATTAGCTGTCTATAATGCAGTTATTTTAGCCATGACACAAAGTCAGCAATTCAAGAAATATCTGTAGATGAGGTTTTAAAGAAACCATGCTATTAGCTCGAGTTGTACAAAATTACTAATATTTGACCATTTCTGAACAACAGATACTGCAAAATTTTTTATCTGAAAAGGTGGAAATTTATTGGGAAACAAATACAGACTCCCATGTAGGGTGTGACCTACTAAGCTTTTTCCTAGAAATTGCAATTTCATGTGGTTCTATCTAAAAATGTCCAGTAAGCATTTGAATTCAATATCTTGTTCTAGTATAATGAGCTTGTTAAAAAAAAAAAACACCCAAAGAAAAATACCCAGCTATTCTACATAATAAAAGGCTAATATGCAAATCAACCAAATGGAGGAATGACTGGTCACTATGATGCACACTGATCACCAGGGGGCAGAAACTCAATGCAGGAGCTGCCCCCTGGTGGTAAGTGTGCTTCCACAAGGAGAGCACCACTCAGCCAGAAGCTGGGTTTATAGCTGGCAAGCACAATGGTGGTTGTGGGAGCCTCTCCCACCTCCATGGCAGTGCTAAAGATGTTTTGTTTAAGTGATGGCTCTCAACTCTTGAGGGTGCAGGCAGGGTGATGAACCCCCTCCCCCCGGAGTGCTCAAATTTCATGCACCCGACCTCTAGTTTTTAAATAAAAACCAATTTAATGATGGTTGTTTTAACAAAACACCCTATAGTAATGTTAAAACAATTTTATTACAAATAAAAGTTCAAGAATATATAAAGTTGACCTAGAATACTGTACTAACATACTACTTGAAAGTTACACATTTTAATTAAGAACATCAAGAAAATGTTCTTTAGTTCTTTTGCACACAGATATTTATGAATCACTAAGCCTTTATATGCTGGCATTATCACTCCTTTAGAGTCAAGGTCTAATTTCAGCTAGTTAGCACTGAATTTCAACTCTTTACTCCCATTAACTGCAGGTTCTCATTGCTTAGATCACTGGTCGGCAAACGGTAGCTCCCAAGCCACATGCTGCTCGCGAGCCGAGGTTTGCCGCTCTGTTGACTAATGAGTTTGCTGACCACTGACCTAGACTCTCATTTCCAATAATTACAAGCTGTTGTTGTTCCTTGTGATTAAGCCCGTATCCCAGTGTTCGGCAAACTCATTAGTCAACAAAGCCTCAGTTTGCGAACCACTGGTTTAGATCATTTCTAAATGCTTTATTTTGCATGACCAAGACACCTCTGAAGTACAATAATAATCAAAAGACCTAAAATCAGGCCAATTAATTTATGTACTAAAATCTACTTTAAATTGAAATTGAAAAGTTACCTAAATTATTTTAAGGATCAAAACAGGTTTTTAAATTAGGTAACAGAATTTACTTCTAAGGTAACAATTGTCATACATTATGTCCATAGCAGAAACAAGAAAATATAAAAAAAAAAATAGCAGAGGAGAAAAAAGCATAGTAAAGAATCTTCTTAGCTGTTCTTCTATGTAGCAGACATTATGTCTATTCAATAATCCATCTTATTCTATTTTCATGGAAATACTTTTCCCTTAATCTAAACGTGATTATAGTGTGGGTGATCTGTCGTCACCCACCAAAAACCAATTACTTAGGGCTAATCACAGAATTTGTTCCTTCAACCTCAGTGATTAGCTCAGAGTTGGAAATAACCAAAGCCACAACTTGACTTTGTCCATGAATACTTGCCCAAGATTTTTCAAACTGAAGCTGGAAGTAACACTTCCTCCTTCTCTAATTAGGACCCATAAGAATGTGGCTCAGAACTGTTGGCAAGCATGTGCCCTGAAATTACATGGTGAAACCAAAGAAAAAGAGACCTCATTGGGTGACAGAAAGCAAAAAGCTGATTTGGCATATAGATAGGCAATTTCAGGTTCTGAGGTTATAGCTCTCTCTAGTTTCTATAGCTATCTGTTGCCTTGATTGATAACTACCACCAGTTTTTCTTTAAGTAAATCCAAGAAACAAAAATAGACGAATTTAAGCAGAGTGCTACTAGAACCCATTACCAATTATATAAATTTTATCCCACTAAAACATTCAAGTATTGCTGAAAAACATAATTAAATTGTAGGGACAGGAAGAAGTTATATATCTGGTCTAGCAAAGAGTAAACTTTCAATCTGATTACAGAAACTAGAGATTAATTTAAACCCATTTCTAAAAATGAAAAATGTAACATTAGCTTATTAGCTCAAGTTTTACCATCAAAACATATATTCATTAGTATGAAGACGACCTTGATGGTGTAAAGCATGTTAGGTCTGAAAACACCAAAGTAAAAAAGCATGAGATTCCGGGTTCCAGCCACGACAGCACTCTTCAGACCTGGATATATATACTTTTTGAGATTTTTTTAACATATAATTTGTCATACTTCATAATAATTGGAGAATTTTCGATTAAGTAGAAACAATGGTGATTTTTCACTGGCGTAAGATAAATGTATAAAGTTGTAGATTTAATTGTAAAGAATTCTTTCATATTTAAATATGTCATTTTCTTTTACCTCTGTGTCTGTGCAGAATGCAAATAGAATTAAAGAAAAAGAAAGATCTTTGTCGTGTCACCCCCTCCCCCCAAAAAAAGCACGAACGCCTCCCCAATAGA